GAGTAATACTCGGGTCAGCTTATACTTCATACCCCGAGGCATGTGCAACGCTGGACTTACCTACGCTAGAAGACCGAAGGGTCCAACTTTGCCTGAACTTTGCTATGAAAGTTCTCAGATCACAGGACTTCCAACACTGGCTACCGCCCAGGAGGGGCACCACCACTGAGCGCACCACTCGTTCCAGTAACAAACTGACCCTTACCAAATGTAGAACTGAGCGGTACAAACAGAGTAGCGTCCCATACATGACCTACCTCCTGAACAGTCACTATTTGTGTTAGACACCGTACATTAAAGTCGTTGTAAATAATGCCTGTGTTAATGCCTGTGTAAATAAATGTAAATAAATGTGTAATGAATTTGCATGTACAACTGGACGCAATTCAGCCTTTGGCTGCAAAGTCCACGTTTTTTTTTTACGAATAAAACACCATTTGATGTCATGTTCCCTATGGGCCTGGCCACCTGTTCTCTTTTCTGGCACTTATTTTGCACCCTGAATCAGAGGGAACATGTGAAAATCTCTTACAAACAAAATTGACACTGCATGTATAAGACATCCAGAATCCAATCACAATGCAAGGAACTTTGGTTTCCGAGCCATTGGACTGAACGGTAATGGTGGAAGTACCGGGGTATAATTGGACTGAACCTACCAACATTTATTTGCAAAGGGTATTTAATAATGAAACCAAGAACAGTATACATGTTGTACAAGGTAGATTGTGAGGAACAGTTGTAATGGTTATTTTATTAATACTGAATTTCTTGACAGTTTTGCCTCACATAGTGCAGTAGTGAGATCTTCGCGTCTCTCTGACAATGCTAACTTTTGCCTGTTACATTTCAGCGTCAGAGCTGGAGTCGGTGCGTCAGCTGTTCTCGGAGAAGCAGAAGGAGCTGGCGGCGGCGGTGTCGCGCGTGGACGGGCTGACCAAACAGCTGGAAGACCTGCGGACGGGGAAGGTGAATGGGTACAACGGGGACATCTCGCATGCGGCGTCCATGGCAGCGGAACTGGAAAGGCTCAGGAAAGAGCTGATGGTGAGTAGCAATTATACATTTATCCAAGAAGGACATGATGCTGGTTAGTTTCATGACTACTTGCATGGAAAACATTGAAAAGAACGTCAGCATTGAAAAGAACAGCAGCACCATAGTTGCTTTTTAAAAAGTGGCATTCTATATTGGTTTGGCACCTAAATTCAAGCATTGTAAAGTGATATGTCACATCACTGACTTAAGTCTAATAATCTTGCTAAAGTGTTTCTCAGAATGTATGTATTGGAGACTAACTTGTGTTTGTTTCCCCTTAGATTCGGAACAGGCTGAACGACCAGCAAAATGCCAAACTGCAAGCACAGAGGGAGTCCCTCAACCAGCGAAACAACGAAATGTCCTACATGGACAAGAGAATAGCCGAGCTGACAGACAGGCTCAGGAAAAAGAAAGCCGCTCAGCAGCAGCGACAGCCGAACAAGGCGAGCCAGAACGAAGGTGAGACTAAGAGTCAGGCAGGAAAGGCACAGAACATTGCGGCTGTGGAACCGTACATTCAGCAACCCAAACAGTCGAGGGACAACCTGAAGCCCAATGGTAGGGCCTACACAGAGCCAATCAAGGAAATGCCAAATGATGGTGACCTGAAGCAGGGGAATTACCTGCCCAACGGAGGACTACCAGTCATGCCAACCCACTTTACCCCCGAGAAAAGCAATTTCACTCCTTCCAAGGGGCATTCTGAAGCCTATGCAGTAATGGAAGAAACCCTTAAGTCTGTGGAAGGAGAACCATCTCAACTTAAGTCTCCCTATGGAAAGGGACAGTCACCAAAGTCAAAGGACTATGGTATAGGACTTAGCCTGGCACCCAGGCCTTTTGTTCCTGGAGGGTCAACATTGAAATCATATGGTTCGGACTCTTCTATGAGTAGCCAAGCCAGTGGAAGGGGTCAGCCTGAAGGTGTGAATGAGAACAGTGCTCGAAGCTCCCCTGTGGTAGAGGGAAGGGCTGTAAACGGTCAGGGAAACAACCACATAGCAACACAGAATTCTAGGCCAAATTATTTGAATGTGGAAGGTGCGACAGTGGGCCGACTTAGTCCCCAACTTGAGCGCAAACCAAAGGAGGGAGGGTTGTATGCGAGCAAAGATAGACCCCACTCGAGTTACGAGCTGCTAGACATGATTAGAGAACAGGACTCGGCTGCAATGAGGAAAAACTACCACAGTTCGGGTGACTTGCCCGGAGATTCACAAAGGGAACAGGGTTTGTCGAAGAAGACACCCCCGAAAACGAGGCCCAAACCATCAAACGGCCACAAAAACAGTAGCCAGACAGATGGACCTTCAGGCAAATTAGATACCTCACCAAAAGCCCTCGATACAGCTCTTGCTATCCTTAAAGGAGGCAACAGACCAGCAGTGACAAGCTCTGGGTACACGTCGTACAGGTCAGGGCCTCATGTAACAAGGGCTGGCTTCACGTCCCCAACAACAAACGACGTCATGTCGTTCCCATCACCTGGTCAGCAGCAGGGCAGGACGGACAAGTCGGTGGTGAGGGCAGGTGGAGAGGGCTCCCAGACACTGCGACCCTTCTCCTCCACAGCCTCTCAAGGAGGGAAGATAGAGTCACCGACGGCAACCGTACGACCCCTCCCTCAGGACGGGCAGGGTGGGATGGAAGCCCATGCTCCAGTGTCCTCACAAACTGTGCCATACCCACCGATCCAGGGACAGACAGGCCCATACTCACCTGTGTCAACCGTCGTGACTGGGCCTTTCCCACCGGCATCAGCACACGGAGGCCAGCCTGTCAGGTCACCGTCTCCCACCAAACAGGGTTACTACCAACAGGAACCTTCCCCCTCACAAACTGGCCAGCCCCCTGACTCCAGGGAAAGGCCACCCTCGCCCAGGAAGCAGCCTCCTCAGTACACGGGGCCTCAGCATCCTGCAGAAGGGAGCCAGCAGAGGCCACCATCTCCCAGGAAGTACTCCAGTCCTCCCAGCTCTCAGAGCAGCCCTCCCACGTCCCAGGCAGGACAGAGTGCCTCCCCCGAGTATCTCCACCCAGATGATTCTGTACAGACGAGGCAGAAAAGCGAGGAATTCCAGGATGATTCGTTTGATGCCAGGCGCCCGGTCAGCCCCACCAAGCACCTCACGCCCAAGCCGGGCAGTGCCTACGAAAGGCTCTTTCCCAACGCCGACCCTGAGAAGATCCGGAGGATAGCCCACGCACCTCGCCCGCTCAGAAAGAGACACTCCTTCAATGAAGGCGAGGGGCCTCCAGCCCAGCAGCAATACTACCGGGGGAGCCCACCGGCACACCCGGCCACCCAGGGGCCTCCTCCAGCTTACCCAAGCTCCCCAAAACCCCAGGAACAAGAGAGCCCGCCTAGTCCTCAGTACAGCAGCCCAGCTCCGGATACACAACAGCAGAACGTTTCTCCCACCAGAGAAACACCACCAGAGCAGGGACAGAACGTTGCACAGAACAACGGGCAGACCTCACCCCAACAACAGCCGCCGCCATCATCGCCCCAGCAGCCTCCGCAGCAGCCCCGCAGTCCACCACCCAACCAGCAAACCAAACCTATGCAACCTGAGAAGAAGAGCAACCTGAAGGGCAGGAACGGGGTGAAGCCCAAACGGAACGTCAGGTTTGACCCGCTGGCTCTGCTGCTGGACGCTTCGCTGGAGGGAGAGTTTGACTTGGTGCAGGACATCATCAACCAGGTGAGAATCATGGAATGGTTGTATTTTGATTGTGACTTTTGACATAGTTCCTGACAATTACTGTTTATTATGTAGATTTTATAGTTAACCCGTGTTTCAATGTTCTTTTGTCTATGTTATTTGCATTAAGCCTTCGGGCAGGAATTACTGGGTAGCAATAAACTTATTTTGATGTCAAATTGTTGGAGACACAAACAGTCTTTCAGCTATGGTGAATTTTGTCAGTTTTTAGAGAAATAAACCATTTCACTACCTCCCCACCAGGTGGAGAACCCCAGTGGCTCCAATGACGAGGGGATCACGGCGCTGCATAATGCCATCTGTGCCGGCTACCACGACATCGTCACCTTCCTGGTGGAGTACGGCTGCGACGTCAACTCACAGGACAGTGATGGATGGTGCGTTACTGGAAATTCACACATTTTTGCTTGGACGTGATTTTACAGTGGGACGGGAAAGAAGGTTTCATGGTGTAACTGTAGAGCTGTATCTGTATCTTGATAAGCTGTTGCTCACATGTTTTGTGTGTTTCCCAGGACCCCTCTCCACTGTGCAGCGTCCTGTAACAACATGCCGATGGTGGAGCTGCTGGTGACGAGCGGAGCCTGCATCTTCGCCACGACCATCAGCGACGTGGAGACGGCAGCCGAGAAGTGTGAGGAGCTGGAGGACGGGTACACCGGCTGCTCCGAGTACCTGTATGGTGAGCTTCACCTCCGGCCGGATCTTTGACTTGTTTCCTTGGTTCTTTAACATTTTGAGTGAAATTTTAGCAAGCGCACATTGTGAAAACAGAGGCTTGGGTTTAACTACTTATACATGTATATTCACTTTCTGGAACTGCATCTACCAGGGACATTCCTTTCAAACAAAAAAGTTTACATCACACTACTTCCATCCATACATTTTGCATTTGTATATCTGAAACTGCTGGTCAGATTCATGACAATATTGCCTAACTCTGCAGGTATCCAAGAGAAGATGGGGATCGTCAACGGAGGACTAGTCTATGCCCTGTTCGACTACGAAGCCGAGGAGTCAGATGAACTCTCATTCAGGGAGGGGGAACCCCTCTACATCCTGCGCAAAGGCGACGCTGACGAGATCGAGTGGTGGTGGGCACGCAGCCAGGAGGGGAAGGAGGGATATGTAGCCAGGAACTTACTTGGGGTGAGCAAACACTCTCGGTTCTGTTGCAGAACTACTAGTGGGTCTTATTTTGATTGATTGGACTTTGTCAGGCTTCCAAGCATGTGCAATTGAATTTCTGACAAAACTATAGTACTACATGTATATACATGTACATACTTCTTAGGAGATTTCAAAACAAGCTAATGATACCTGGGTTGTAAAATTTTTTCGAATGTGTTGATGTTTCCATGTCAATGTTTATGAAGGTGAAGCATTTAATTTATTTGCCTCTACATTTTCCAGATGTCCCCAAGAATTCCGCAAAAACGACCTTGAGGCAGACCCGAAGAAATCATGACAGCACAACCAACCAACAGACTTGCCAACTCCTGCAGTTTTACTGAACAGCCGTGTGTTTGCTAGCAAGAGTAGAGAGAGCTTTTTTGTTTTTCTTTTAAAGATGTGAGCCGGTTGAAGATAGCATGGAAGAAGGAAAGTGAGCTGTGCTGGTGTATTTTGGTTTGAATCTGATAGAGGGAGCTTCTGATATGTAAAGAAAGAATTGGGAGGTTATGGCAGGGAAGGATTGTTAGAATGCAGCTTTGTTGTAAAGAACGCATGCTGATTGTTGTGTCTGAGAGTGGCTGTATGTAACTTGTGCTAAAATAACATGGATTTTAAAAAGAACAGCATTTCATGCAACCATGAATTTTAATGAAAAATTCTTTAGGATTTCATGACTTCGTGAGAAGAAAGTGCAATTCATTTGCTGCAGAAGTGTGATGCCATCTCATTTTCCTTGCATGAATTTCCTGGTTGTACTGTTTCCTGTTTGTGTAAGGGAGCATTTCCCTGTGTACAGTTGTCCAGAAATATGTCTTATGTTATGAACTTGTGTATATATGCAGCTGTGTAGCCAGGGGCGGTAGCAGAATAACTTTTGTATCATCATATTTATCAATTGTATTTAACTAGCAGCACATAATACTGGTGTAGTAGGGCCTACAAACTCGTAGTACACGCCTTTTTATTTATTCTGCTTTGTAGTAGCTGGAGCTAGTTTGGTGATGAGAAGACCTTGCCGGTAGCGATCCTGGCAAAACCCACCGTGTATGATATTGAAGTAGCTGATCGTGACAGAATTCTGGATCTGAATCAATTCTAATAGGTTGAGTCGGGGACAAGTTGTATCATGTGATCACGACAAAGAATGTCGAATTCTAAATGTATGATTCCAAGGCACCCATGAGATCATGTGACTGTACAATAAATGAAGCCTGGAGAAGTCTTTGTGTGTTGTGATTGACTTTATCTATATAGCCGGTATAACCGCTCTTTGGTGTAACACACCAGCTTCTTGTCTCTTGGTAGTGAGATACAGTAAAGAAATGTCTTAGAGGGCTTTAGCAAAATTTCTCTTATCAATTCAGATATTGAGTTTGCAATAGGTATCTTAGAAATGTTAATTAGTAAAAAATCTCTTCCCCGCGAAATACTAGCGTCAAGCACCTTTGAGAAGAACACAATTAACTAAAGACCAACTTTTTTTAGTCTACTTTATTCATAAATCTGGTTAACAGTAGTACACATTTTTTGAATACATGTACATGTGGTGACAGATACAAGACTGAAAATGTTTTTATATGTTTATTGAAGGCCAGATTTGAGTTATTATCTCTGGAAAAAGAACTAGCAAGGGAAGACGATTATTTTCTAGGTACAAAGAACTAAATCAAATGGAGCAAACGGGGTATTCTCTGGTCATAGTTTATAGTTCTAACTCAGGAGAGATGGGAAATTGGATGCTAGTTGACTTCTATACAGGCTTGTAGTCCAGCTTGGACTCCAGTTTCTTGTTATCGCAGACTTTCCTCACAGCCTTCATGAAGTCCTCTTCTATCACATACTCTCGTTCTGACCGGATGGCAAACATTCCTGCAGGAGGAAATAAAGTAGACATTCCTTATTACATGTTTTTTTTAACCTGTACAAATCTTTACACCAATGATTAACAATACATATATCACAAGTACAAAGACTGGGCAAAGCCATGTTGTCATGATTTTAAAAAAAAGTCGTAATCTGGCAGATGAAAGAGAAGCTATAGTCTCACCTGCTTCAGTACAGACGTTCCTGAGATCGGCTCCGTTGAAGCCATCAGACAGCTTCACTATTGCTTCATAATCTGAACGAGAGACAAAGGATGGCACTGAGTTTACTCTGAACAATGGAAGTGAATATACAGTGTGATCAGGATGCAAGATATGATACACACAAAAAAATGGTCTGTATTGCAGAGTGCTACAACTGAACATATAGAAATCCTGTACTGTTTTTCTTAATTGAAAAAAAAAAGGTTTCCTTGATGTTTACCTATTTCTCCATGTTTTGTCATCGGTCCAGAGTGGATCTTCAGAATGTCCATCCTGGCCTGCTCGTTTGGGAGGTCGATCTCTGTCAGATGATAACAACAACACAGACTTGAATGTGACATGCAATGAGTTTTGGAGTACTGCTTCAACCATGCTAAAGGTTGAGACAAAGACATACAAATGTTTAAGAAATAGACAAATGTCTTACGGATCTTCCTGTCGAGTCTGCCTGGCCTGAGCAGGGCGGGGTCCAGGGTGTCGGGGCGGTTGGTGGCCATGATCATCTTCACCTTCCCCAACCGGTCAAAACCATCCATCTGGTTTAGCAACTAAAATGTACAACACAACGTGTTAGATATCGGACCACAAACATGTTAGAAAGCCAGGCATTTTCATGGAATTAAAAGCTGGGTCTCATGTACTTGTTAAGTACAGTAAAGAACTGGCAATGGGGACTTGCCACTATGTTGATATCTCTAACAGTCCTCCATAACACCTAAACTGTGACTGACAAGATCTGCAAATTGTGCCCACCTCCATCAGTGTTCTCTGAATCTCTCTGTCAGCAGAAGTGCCCTCTGAGAAACGCCTGCCACCTGGTGGATTAGACAAGAAATGCTTTAAACATGTGGTTCCTTTTTTCGCATACAATCAATCCTCAATAAGAACACACTTCTTAGGCGAATACATGATTGCTTATCATTTCTCTATAAATGGGTACCAGACTATTCAACAAGAAAAGTGACGTGAGAACTGAACTAGAGGTTATCTCTCCCTCACCTATAGCATCTATCTCATCCATGAAGATGATACATGGCTGGTGGTCCTTGGCGTAACCAAACATCTCACGGATCAGGCGGGCACTCTCTCCGATGTACTTGTCAACGATAGCGCTGGACACAACCTAAGGAAGAAGGATACAGTATTGTACTTTGAACATAACATTTCATAAAGTAGAGAACCATTTTCTAATATTCCTGCTTAATTTAACAATTTGGATCATTCTGAAAGATGCAGGTTTTTGGCAAACAAATTCTATTGCTGTAAGTCAACTCTTCAACCAAACTCAGTACTGAAAGTTTTGTTCAGAAGCGAACGAACAAGCATCATGTGCCTCACCTTCAAGAAGTTACAATCCAGCTGACTTGCTACTGCCCTGGCCAGCAGAGTTTTTCCTGTGCCTGTAAAAATACAAATATTGTCAAACTTGCGCATGACAACCACTCAAGGCACCCAGCAAAAATGATCATTATAGACAGGAAGATGGTCACGCAAGTCATGAAAGCTGGTTATACTTATTACATACCGGTAGGAAACAAAAAACAAACATGTCCTACCTGGAGGTCCGTACAGCAGGACTCCCTTTGGTGGATCGATCCCAACACGGAAGAAGAGCTCAGGGTTGAGCAGGGGCAGCTCTATCACCTGAACATCAGGAACAAATAGATGATAAATTACTTGTTTGTTTTGCTGATTTTGCTTGTCACAGACTAAAGATATCTGGAAAAACAGATCTTCACATACATGTAGCGCATGCCCACTACACTAATTTATTTCCTCACTGGTAGTTCCCTGGCATTTTAAGTCAAATTTTAACTCAAGGACATCATGAAAACTGACAGCTTGTAGGTAAACTTGAACCTCAGTTTTCATGTTCGTCTTCCAGCATTACATTTTTAAATCTGAACCAGCTGTGACTGTAAGCATAAGTGAGCTGTAGCCTGTACAGATGTCTCACCTCTCTGAGCTGTCTGATCTGTTCTGCCAGGCCACCAATCTGTGAGTAGGACACTTCACCTGGGTCCTCAATAGACATGTTATACACCAGGGGGTCCACCTCTCTGGGAAGGTACCTGAAAAAGGCAAATAAGTGTTAGCCCACAAATTTAGGCAGGTGTGATCACACATGGCAATCAAGTCTGAAGCACAAGGACACTCTGAAGCACAAAGAGACTTCTGTATCTCAAAGATTCAGTCATAGAAGAATTTTTTACTGTGGAATAGACTACTTAGATAAATTACTGACACATGTCTTCCTCTGTGTACACTGCCAGCATCCTGGTGCTAATGCTGTGTGAAGAATGATGTAAATGAAAGTTTAAAAGACAAAAGTGCTTGAAGTTCTGTACCTCATGATGGTGAGAGTTGTCATGTCCAGGGCCACACGGGTACCAGCCTTCAGCCTGGCCTTGTCAACCTGGGAGGGTGAGGGAACATGTTAGCAAGGCCACACATACAGCTATAGGACAGTCAAGTAAAGAAGCTGTTTTTCTATCATCCAACTTGAACTTACCAGTTACTAGAACTAGTCCCAGTACATTCCTACATGGCTATGGCAAGGAGGTGATGATTCATTATGGATCATGAATCAGTCACTGGATTATGCGGGATATCTGTGTGTTTTTGCTTTATGCAGGCAAAGTTTACTTTTATTAGGCTGAGTAGGAATTATTGTTTACCTGTCGTCTGCAGCCCACCACATAGCGAGGACCATTGGTCGCCTTGACAATGACTGAAAGCAAAACACAAGAACATGTTATAGACCAAAGCAACAACTCTTGGCTGAAGCTTTGCAAATGTCAACAAAAACTACTACAGAAAAATTTCAAACTTCTTAAGTTAAAATGTGTGATGTTTCAAATATGCATACTTACACTTATCCTCAGTTAACTGCTTCAGAACTTCACCGACAATCTACACAGGAAGTAGAATAAAATCTGTCAAAACTGCAGCCAAGGGATTTGACAAACATATTCATTCACAAAATACCTAAAGGATGATTATGGAATTTAAGGTTTGTTAACTTCCATTTCCGTTCTATACTCCATATAGAACGACTTTGTTGACGTGTACGAAATCATAAAGCCTCTTAGAAACTACTGAGGTATCAAGCATAGCAAACATAATTATGAGTCGAGTGACTTCACCTGTCCAACACTCTGCAGAGCCTTCAGGTCGTTCTCAGATTTCTCATAATCCTTCGTCAACTCCTTCAGCTGCTCACGCACTGTGGAAAACACACATCATCATAATAATCTTACAAACGTTAAACAGGTCTTTTCGTCCCCTAGTCCCTTCGTACTCTAGTTTTTTCGTCCTTGTTATGGATCCTTGTTACAGACATGGGGTGCCTGGTGTTCCATGGTCTTTCAGAAAAAGTTAGCGCAAGAAATAGAGGCTTTATCTACATCAATATTATAAGACGAACACATGGTTCGGCTAGAAGGTGTCTTGTTGTGGAGGAGTTATACCCACAAAAGTGATACTTTCCCACTTGTGTATCTTCAAAAATCATGCCCCCCTCCCCCTTCAACTCCATGGACGAAATGACTCAGCGAGTACAACACTGCTTCGTTTGCTCTTTACAGAGTGAACGAGACAAACGCTGTGTCAAACAACGGTGTTTATAGAATTTCAAGACTCTACTTTTACTCACTCTCCTTGAGCCGACTCTCCAACTCCCGGTGTTCTAGGAGTTTTTTGCGATAATCTGTGAGACCTTTCTCCCGAGCGCTGTCAGTGGTGGCCATGTTGCTCGCCGTCATTTTTGCACTGCACTGTGGGAAATTTGGAGCGCCCCCTCTTGGGTTTCCTTATAACTGCACCATAGGGTGCCTGTACTGTAACTTGTTCATTGTATGAATATATGTTTAAAGTTAAAACTTTTTTAACCAAAAGTTTTTAAACCAAAAGTTTTAACATTAAACATGTAACTACCAACACAGATGAACTTTCATGATTGTATGAATATATGCCTAATGTTACAAATCATCATTGAACAGAAGATGATGCTTTGTCTGTTTTAGCTTCAGATCTGGTAGTGTGAAGGCCGTTAACGCGGACACATGTCGTGCCTTCCTCCGTCCACGGGGACCTGGGCGCCGGTTATGAAAGAAGCGTCCGACGAGGCCAGGAAGGCATGGTCTTTTACTAGAAGCTGGAGCCTCGCGCCTGGCCATGCTGGCGGGAGCATTGTATTATCCCACCGCTACCCTGTATTAAACAGCTCTACCTAGTGACGTGTCTTGGCAATCTACGCTCATAATATTGACGTAGATTGTACCGAGTTTGGTTCACTTTTTTACACCAGGAGCTTCTACAGTATCCGCCCTTGTATCTCCAAGAAACTAGTTCTAAGCCCATTTTTGCACTTGACCTCAGTGGTCTCCACAACGGCAACCTGCCTGCCAAAAATCATGAACATCGATCCATGCCTTCAAGAGTTATGACGCTAAATCCACAGTCTCCCCCACTATTAAAAGCAAACTGATTTTATAACCCTTCTGACGAAGGCAATAAATATAGAATACAGCACGGGGTTTTCCGCATCGCCCGAGGTATCGGCCCGACTCGTGGGAGGGCGGGGACCGAGGGTGATGCGCGCGCGTGTCACGGAGTAGATGAAGTAACGAAGTAACGGTTAATTTAATATCTATATTAATCAATATAGTTTCATCACTGAGGACATTCAAGGTCATCCACCATTCAAGGACACTGTTTACACTGTAAGGACATCTAAGGACAGTACAGGAAATTAAGGGTTAATGGGTGGAACACTGAGGTTACACGTATACTGAGGTTACGTAAGGTAGGAGCGTAAAACATAACTAAATATGGTAATAGTCCCTTCTTCTAGGCCACATAACACAGATTTAGGGACAACTTCAAGTTCAGTTATAAGAAGTCCATTCATTTAAAAAGAAGTAAACAAGTCCCTTAATTGAGTTCAAGGTAAAACAGAGTTGTCATCAGAGAGATAGATGCTTTCTTGAGTCAGTCTTCTCTTGAGCGGAGCGAGAGAGGCTCATACTTTGTGTAACTCCGTTGACTGGGAATAAAACCACACTAACAACTACAACTTTCCGACTAATCTTTTGTGGACGACGCTCAGAGACCACCGTACAAAAGGGAGCATCGCCACACGCGCATGCGAAATACACCGTGTTGTATTTTATTTATGTTATACCCACCCAAGAAAACGCTCCTTTCAATGCATGATGAGCCAAAAGTTGTTGCCACTAAACCCTAAAAAAATGCAACAACATCAATTCCAACGTCCGGCGCCGTGTACGTACGTTACGTACTAGGAGCGAGCGCGCACGCAACTGCCACCAAGCAGGTAATCATCTAGAAAGACACAAAACAAAAACGTCTGATATGCATGAAAGAAAGTTTATTTTTAATGGCCTGGGCTTACATCATTCTAAGGCTTCTCCGCGGCCGCGGATGTTGGGGACGCGCGTCGTGCTCGGTGATGGTCCCGTGCCAGGCAGGTGGTTGTGGTTTGGTGCCGGCCTGGTGGGGGTCAGATTCCGGGTGGCCTTGGAGGTCTGTGGTGCTGGACGGCGGTCGGACGCCGGGTGATGATCGAATGCAGGGCGATGATCGGGTATCGGGCGGCGCTCAGGTACCCAATGGGCGGTGATCTGGTGGTGCGCCATGAGCCTGGCTATGTTTTGAATGAATGGTGGTCTTCTTGGGTACCAAGGGCGAACTGTGCACACCGTGTGTAGCTGGTCAGGGGGGCCCGCATGCCCTTTTCCCTAGAGCGTAATCGGCCGTTTTAATTCTTTGCGTAGAGCGTCCTTCGGTCAGGTCTGACCGTGTTTCATTTACGGGGTGTCCCTGAGATTTTGAACGTGTAAACTTGGCCGCTGATTTCGTGGGGAGTGACCTGACTTGCGAGACTGGAGCACAGCCTCTCTGTACGACATCTTGGTATTCTGATGATGGCCGTTTGGCCGGCTGTTCACCTGTGCTGTGATGGCTTGACTGTGTTTCCCCGACAGGGCTCCGATCCTTTAATCTGTGTCCTATGCATTTCACTCTATCCCTCGATCTAGTCCGCGGCCCGAGAAAAATGGAAATGTTCTATATCATATAACGTTATATATGTTCACTGTGGCAGGTGAAGTTCTTGACGTCCGTCGTTGACGTTGTTCATGGCCATAACCTCCTTGGTTATCGACTGTGCCGTCATCATTGGACCAGTTCACACTTCGATGTCATGATCAATTGCTTTCTTGACTCGAAAATCGCTGAAAGGGGACCAAAAAAAAATTCTGTTCCGAGATGTCATGTCTTCTCACATGAGTCGAACATCGCTGAAAGGGGGCTAAAAAAATAATAATTCTGTTCCCGACTTCCACCTATAACATAAGTTCGCGGTACAGAAGTGACCGCGAAAGTCGCGAATATAAAACCACCGCGAAAAATCAGGAATTACATTTCTTAGGAAGGTATACACATATAAATGGAAAAGGTACGCGGGCTCGACAGACAGGGCAAATAATCTTCTTGAGGCTGTGACATGCCGTCTTAAAGCAGGCAACATGACAACAATGCCTACTCGATAAGGTTGAATTTGGACATTTATCCCATAATTCGTGATCAGGAATTGGTTCAAAACATATTACACAAATGTTGGAAGCAACTGTAGGAAATTCCATGTGTCGACAACACCACACGTTCCAAAACACCTTCACAAAATTTGTCCCCACTTCACCACAGCTTTTAGTACTGACCTCTCCGGGAATGTTGGGCGCGTAATAAGAAAGGAATTCGGGGGCAGGCCCAAATATGGGCATGCAAGCATGCAACGGGTGTGGCCATGTTTGCAGATCTGGCTGTTGATTCGATGATAGCTAATTGATTTACTAGTATTTTATACCACCTACGCGGTCGAAACATGATAGCTACACAGCTACAGGGCTATTTTTATTCAGCTAGCCAACCGAAGAAGAGACCCTGAGTTACAAACCGTTGTTCTTACTCATAAATGTCAATAACTTTGAATGCAAGTCTTTTTTTTTATTTTTCCAACATACAAACCAAAATCACTTTGACTCAGTTTGAGCTGTCAAAAGAGAAGGAGGACGTCACTCTGCCAGGGTGAATTTACAGAGGTCTGGCTTACCAGTTACCACATTGATTGAATGATGATGAGGAGGACGAATCATACGCAACCTAGTGAGGCTAGAAGATAGCTATGTGACCATATTTTTTGGTAAGTACTTGCTCACTCACCTCATTCATCCATCTTTTCACTCATTCACTCAGTGTTGAACTCACTACACTTTTGAATAAACACACAGATATAGAAGAAAATGTACATGTCAAGTATTCATTTATTTATTCAAGACACCTTTTCCCATTCAATGTTAATGTCTTTCTCGGAGCTCACGAAAACACACCTGTCTCTGCAGGTAAAAGTGGACTCTACTCCTACAGTATCACTATACAGAGAAATTACAGAGTTATTTTAATGTATTCAAAAATGTTCCTTCTACAATGGCATTCCTACATAATAGCACAGGTCTGTTAATGTGTGACAATATTCTTTAACATCTTTCAGGCAGAAAGGACCTTTAATATATGTTCTCTGTTGTGCATTAACTTTCACTTACATCCATTCATGCTGGAAATGAAAATAAATATCAATGACTGTATCCTTTTGTTTATCTTGGCAAAAATAATAATCTCTGGGGCTACATTCGTCTATGTAGCATACTGTGAACTCTTACGAAAATCTTGAAAGTTGGACCAAAATTTTTGAATTCCCAGATATATAAAAAGTATGACAGCTGTTCTATTACAATAAGAAAAGTCCAGTGCTAGACGATCATCTCTAGTTCCCGTGCATACTCTATGGCCTGTGATGCCAGCTCGTTGGCCGGGATTGTCTCTTCTTTCTTCTCTGGCTCTTTGTTGAACTCGAAGAAGTGGTCTGGTCTCAATGTCCAGCCGCGCTGAAAATGGAAATATACCATAGGTAATCTTTTTGCTAGCAACACAGGTTATTTCTTAACTTTCGTTTTACTCCTTCAACAAAGGAAAACTATGAAACATACTAGTGAATGAACAGTTAATATTCTGTAGCTTAGGTTAACCCTCTTCTCACCTTTGCTGCATACTCCTTTACATCTTTCTTGTTTTCAAAGAACAGTATCCTGGCCGCCTCTGTGCTGGATATCCTGTCGTAGGCCTTCTCTGCACAGGCAGCTATCTCATCCCTGTGGATGTGACAAGAAAAGTGTAAGGACTAAACAAGTGGCACTGGCTTGTCACAGGAATACTACAAGCCATGCACCTTGAATCCTAAGTCTCTTACAAGCAAGTGAGGGTAATAAAGTTTGATTGCAAAATATCTGTATGATGTCTGTATCTGACCTGATGGTGTTCAACAAGATGTCGATGAAGAAGCTGTAGCTCTCGGCTGGAACGTTCCCCTTGGCCAGGAAAACTTTGTTGTAGCTGCCTTCCATCAGGTACTGAGACGAGGCGGAGTTTTAATGTTTTCATTATCATGATGAAGGATACAATGAAAACAACCGATGCGTTTATTTTATTTTAAGTACACATCTGTACATATGTGTTCTAGTCTGTATCTTTATACATGTATGCATATGTTCAATGTTTCAGCAGGATTCCATTTCAGTGTAGGCTTATACCTGTATTTGCATTTATACTAGATCTCACACAATTTAAGAGATACACTCCAACTTTTTAGCTGTGGATTAAACATACAGACAACACGATACACACCTGTTCCATGGACACTGGGTGTTTGATGTAGATGTTGTTGTAGATTTCCTTAGACGGGAGCAACTCCAACTCCTACAGAAAACAGTGTTTCATACAATATCAATACAAGCTATTGTAGCAAGTTTGGATCCTGGACTTTCAAATGCAAGGCAAACAGTTTACCCCCCTAGGCTACAGCACTGGTCAAGTAAATATAGAGTCTTTCCTATATTACAACATGACACTTTCTTATATTGTAATCATGAGATAGAAGATCAGCAGTGCCACACGTACTGTATGGAACTCAGCCAGTCTGGTCTGGGACAGCAGACACAGCAGGTTCAGCCCCAGCAGCTGGTACTTGTACGCCGACTCAGGCAGCTCCGTCCTGCTGCCAACAACACAACAACAGTCACTTCATGTGGTCTGGTGAAATGTGGAAGAACTTGACGAACCAGTTCACACTTCCAGGGATCACAAAAACTGCTTGCATCACATCACAGGGCCGGGGAGATACAACACTTCCGCAAACATTCATGCCCATTGTAGGAACAAACTTTGCGCTTATGTGCAGACATTCTAACACACCAAGCCTATATCCACCATATTTGACTGTTGTTGGAAATGATGTATATTCCCCTGTGATACCAGCAGTTTTTGTGATCTATAGAAGTGTGAACTCATCTATCGACAGTGATATGTATTTCTATTGTAAAAATAATGTAAAACCCAGTCATCTGTAGTAATTTTTGCATCATGGCAAAATATCACACAACACAAAACACAGTACAAGTTAGAACAGAGTGTGTCAGACTGACTTGTAGTCCAGGTAGTAGCACTTGAGTTGTGCCATGTAGCGCTCAAACCCAGGGATGTCCTTTGTCATTATGCTCCACTGGGCTCCAATCTCCAAAATGTCTCCTGGTTACAAAGACAAAACAAAACTGCTTTTGAGAAAACATACTGGCAACAATTTGCAACAAAGGTGACTTGCTGAATATTCCACAGTCTGCTACGTTTTATCAGACATGAGTACAATGTTTGACATAAAGAGACCTGCTTGTGTCCATTCCTAAACATTGATAAAAGCAATAGTAATATTTTCTAGTGGAACAGAATGTTTCATGTCCTTACGTGCCACCAGCAGTTCTTGTTTGGAAGGTTTGGTGTCGGCTGTGGGCAGGAAGCTCAGCTCCAGTAGGCAGACCTGTGGAAGGACAAAAACATGAATTGAAACATGTGTATATATGTTAAAGTAAGGATGTCATCCCAAATGTGACTGTACTGGGACAGCATCCTTGTTGCTATGCCACAATTCAGCGAGGAGTATTAGAGTTCATTATGCCCTGAAGAAGGTAGCCAAAACGTTACTGAAACATTGTCTGATAAAATCCCTTGGTTTAGTTAAGTCAGAGTATGTACTGTTTCGGCAAACCTCAGAAAAGAATAACGCACTAAGAATCAAACAGGATAGTCAAGATGAGAAACTTAAAAGTCATCGATGTTAAAAAGTCATTGTTGTTTCTTGACTTTCTTGTTGAAGGCATCTAGAGAAGGGGGAGGGGGGCAACCATGACATCAGCAACCATGGGGTGATCTTGGAAGAATATGTCTTTAAAAACAAACAACGAACAAAAAAATGGTAGAGAGGCTTAGTTTTTATTATTGGTAAACTGTAATACTGTTTAAGTGTGAATCGTAAAAATAATAGTGTAGAAAAGCATAATGTTGTCCTGTTTACTGCACTCATATGAAGAAAACCATGAATCATCAGTAGTCCCTTCACTTTGAGCTGCGTCTGTGTCCCCATTTAACTTTCGTTGGATCCGTGTTTCGTGTAAAATGACGCTACATACCTTTAGCTTCGAGAGCTGCTCGCCACATTTCTGCAGATTTGGCGGTTTCCTGCTCCATTCTTGACTCAAAGTTTGGTACATCTGCACAACTTCCTTCATGGTGGTCGCCATTTTTGAAACACAAATGATAAGAGTATTCTGGGTTGGAGAGCAAACTGGGAACGAGAACACGGAATAGTGGACCAGTCACCAGCGCCACATAGTGATTTTCAGTAAAACTGCAGAAACATCAATCATCCAACAATAAATAAAATTTGGTAGCCATTTACCTCGTCAGTTAAACATTTAGCACCCTAACTTAATATATTTTGAAAGAAATCATCGAGAAAGGCATAGAAAAAGCAAACCCCAAAAGAGCCCCCCAAATATATCGAAGTGGGTGGCATTTTACGACAATCAGTTGGTTTGCGACACCATCCCTGATCCCGGATCCACGAGCCGGTTGGATTCACACCCCCACCACTCCACCACTCCAAACCTGCACCGCGAGTTTTCGTCGTTTTCTGCATCTTTAGAACACTGGATCATGGAGAACGACATCTTAGACGCTCTGGATGATCTTGGGTACGTATGTCAGCCACGGAAGGCTAATACATGGCGGATGAAACGATGTCACGCGATTCAGATGAGGATAGTGTCGTGTTGGCATTAGACTGCATGGGGGATCGAACCGCTCGGACAGCACCAAGGCCAAAAACTATATATTTCCTTTTCACTCTACTGATAGTAATTTTGTAGTAATTTTGAGAAGATCCGATTGACTTTGGCACTAAGCAATATCCTTTATAGGGATTTTATGGCAGTGTTAGACAAATAAATTTGACGTGATTTTAAGCTAACAAAATCACGAGCAGTGCTGCAGTCTGCACGTTTCACACATTCCCTCACGTTCCCCCTTCCTTCGCAGGTACGAAGATGCTTTTGACGAAACCGTGCTGGCCAAAGCCGTGGAAGGTGGATCCCGGTCCCCGGTGTTCACCAAACTGTGTGCCTGGATCACAGGCGAGCTGAAGGGGCTGTGTAACCTGGAAGAATGCGTCCATCCCACCCAAAGTGAGTGGTGCCCCCCTCCCCTCAAGATGTGCAGCGAAAACACGTTGTCACTGTCAGAAAGATTAATTTCTGCTATGTCGGACGGTGTCACACTGACAGCAAAGCCTTTTACCTTCATACACGTTGGTCTTTTACTGTAAAATACCGGAAAATAAATGATATCACACATATATTTACCTCGAGTACTTTAGAGTTTGTTGAATCTTGTACTTCAGAAGTCGAGGGTCGCTCTTCTGCCGCTTCCGTGTTAGCCGACCTTTGGTCCTGCGACACGGGAGTTTGTGAAATCTGTTCAGCTGGTTCTGTCGGCTCTGTAGCCCGACTTGTGGCTGCATCTGGTCCTTCCGTGTCCTCAGACGCCCCTGTTTGCCTCCTTGAGCGGCTCCTTGTTCTCGTGCTCGGGCCTTGCTGGGCGGCGTTGGGGAGGGAGGCCGGGGGAGGGTTGGGGGCTCTCCGACGGCTGGCCCTCTTGCTCGGGCTGCGTGTGGCTTCCGTGGAACTTGAACGGCGTCGTTTGGTCATCTTCTGTCCCACAAAATAAACACACAGACTCTGAAAATCTAGTCCAAATTCTCCTATACTTGGAGTCTCATTCTCTGAAGTAATATTAAAGAACTGGTTCGTTGTGTTCCCGATATTCCCGGACGATTCGAACCGTACCGACTGTGATCACCCCTTTGCTTTGTGTTCGGGCGGAACTTCCTTCGCTTCGGCCGGCGGGAAATTCGAAGGTTGACTCCGCAAACACAACCTGGTCAACCCCCTGCAGAGCCTTTGTTGTCCTTTGTTTGTTTTCAGCAGGTGTTGAGATGAAATTACATTGTCCCCACTGACGTGTGGGGTAAAATTACATTTTATGCCATGTGGCCATGACGGCCTCTTACCCCTGATGGCTTCAAATACACCACTTGAATAAAATAGTATTGGAAAAGCTCATATTTCTCATTGTTTACCTAACTTATTCTCAATGGCTGTCAACTTTGTGGTAAGAACAATGATTACTATACACAAGGAGGTTAAATACAAGTATTTAACCTCCTTGCTATACAGTAGCATAAGAAAAATTGAAATCAAAACCCAGTCTCACTGTGGGTATGTGTAACAAAATGGGGAAGAAAAATAAAAATGCAAAGTAATACATAACGTTAAACTGTAGACAAAAAATGTGGTGCTATACTTTCGCCCATCCCTGACCTTTCCACCAGTCTAACCTGCCATAACTGTTTGTCCACAGGTCCAGATGATACAGAGGGGTTTGAGATGGAGATGAGCAGCTTCCTGAGTGAATTTGGTAAGCTCTTTAATTTACTCCTATTACAGTTTTAAATGTTGGATACCACAACTGTTTTCTCCTGTATATCCAAAAGCAGTTTTTTAACCACTGTATGTTTCCTCGTAGGTTGCCCACATGCCGGGGTTAGCAGTGGGGAGTTTGCCCAGAGGTTCAGAACAAGAGAGAACTGCTTGTTACTACTAGGTAAGTACATGTGCATTCACCCCACACCACCTACTGTACCTGCTAATGCTGCAGTAATGTGTATCAGTATAGCTGTAATAACTGACCGTCTGCAGAAAGACACACAGATCTGATCATTTGCCTAGCTAACATTGCTTATGTTCCCTTACTTTCCCTTCTTTGCAATCTAAAGCTGAAGTATCTACAGAATTGTTTGAACTACAAACACAAAAAAATCCTCCTTTCCTCACCTACTGCAGAATTAATTTGAATGTTGATTTTGCAGACTACCTTCTGACTGAGCTGCAAGCAGCACAGATGACACACGCAAATCACCCAAGACCGCCGACTACCCCCACTGGGCAGGTGAGAATTGTCTTATGGAATTATGGCTATCAGTATGTTTTAAACTCTTGAAATATTCACTTGTACATGTATGTGTCCAAATGGCCTTTAATCTAGTACATTTGTACTGTGCAACTGCAGCCAATCAGAGCTCTCGCCTATATTTTAGGAGAATATTCAAATGCCAATTGGTCCTCTACTAAGGATGCTAGACTATTCAGTAAGGGAAGCAATTACAGGAGCCCATTGAAGTGTGGATACCAGTCTAGCACTGCACATCCACATCCAGAAATTTGTTATTGTTGATATTTATCAATATCCAATATACTAGATGTAATTGTAAGGGTTCTTAAAGCAGGTGTTCCATCCACAGGCTCCCACTAGCCTGCACTCAGGTGAACTGAAGGCCATCTGTATCACCCTGGGGATGTCTCGCCCCCCTGCCAACATCACAACCTTCCAGTTCTTTACCGGAGTAGAGAAAAAGGTGAGTTGTCTAGAAACAATAATCTTACCTCACAAATTTAGGTTTGTTATGTTATTATTGATTCAAAAAAAGCTCAGAAGTAATTTCTTTCTTAAAACTCCATGGCTACAGCCTATGATAGATTTGTTCTATTAAAAAGCATTTGCACATCTACACCATTGTGAGCAAGGGACATTTTATAGGGATGTCCTTGGTGTGAGTGGTTCAATTTTCATGACTTTTGAGTCCATTTCTGTAAAAAGGGTATTTTCGTTTGTATACATATCTTTTACCTGTAGAAATAGTAATGATACCCTGCCTCATTCAGCTTTTACAAGCTTGGTTTCTTTGTTGATTTGTCCTCCAGTTAAGAGAGTTCCTAAGCAAGGTACCACAGGACCATATAGGAAAACCCCTTATGAAGCGTGCCATGGCTCCTGGACAGTGGGTAAGTCTATGCTGTAGCACCGCCTTATGGCTGCTTTTGGTACTGCAGCACTGGTGTGACAGAAGAATATCATAATGTTATATTTGCTTGCAAATGTAATGTAAGTCATGAGGAACTGTCCATATACTAGTAGTACTGTCACTGAGTTGAACCTATGAGTATTGAGAAAGGGGAAAGAGAGTTTCCTTGGTGTCTTGCTTATGTACATGAACACACATCTTAGACCAGTTGCTGAATTATGACAATACCAGAGCATTGCCTATCCATTTTCCAGGCCCAACTAGACATAATCAATAGGAAGTTGTCAGAAGAGTACAGAGTCCGTCGAGAGATGTTGCTGAAACGACTTGATGTCACTATTCAGTCTTTCAACTGGTCAGACAGAACAAAGGTGAGTATCCCACACAACACTAAAAATTTGTGTTGATGTGTTCCTTAAACTTGACAGCCCTGTGATATCCCAGATAGACTAACACATATCCTTGGTTCTTGGATAAGTTTGTAAACAAATTTAGTAACAGGATGATCTGATAACAGAAGTCTGTGAGGAAAACACAACTCTGATTATCCTATCTTATCTATGTTATCACTCGCTCACAGATATCAGGGGAGGTATGATATCACCCAGGCCATTAGCGCTTCTGAAGTTGATGTGAGTTTTCTTTGTTTCAGGGGAGGGAAGACGCTGTAGCCCAGGCCTTCAGACCCAAGAGACAAGGGCTGTCCACACAGACCAACGTCATACTGGCTGATTTACTGGCAGCAAGAGAAGGTGAAGGGTCACGATCTGCTGAACTTTTTAGTTCTTAGCTGTTACCAACGTTAGCTGTCATAGTACTAGTTTTTGTTATTAAGAGATTGATTAGAATGATACTGTCACAGAGTTTAGGCCTTTAGCACAAGATACCCATTATAGGTAACATTTTAAAAATTGCATTATCAGAGACTGGCTTTGATAAATTCTTCATACTGACCTTGTTTTGGGCTTGATTTATTTACTTTGTTTTCCAGATATTGCCAGAATCCAGAAGACCTCCTACGGTGCAACAAGACACAACTGTGCCATCAACAAAGTCCTCATGGGCAGGGTGAGTATCATATTTATCTCCTCTTATTCAATCAATTGTTGAGTCTAGTATATTCCCCTTCCCCTTGTTCTGTTCATGGCTGTAGTAGATTGTATGATCCATGTGGTCTTTTTTGTTTCCTGCTACTGCCCAGGTTCCTGACAGAGGTGGTCGTGCCTGGGAGAGAGCTCCTCCTCCAAAAGAGATGCCAGCATTCAAGAAGAGAGAGGACCATGGCAGGGGTAGGCACAGTTATGCCTGTGTGTTAGCCTGTTGGATGTTACATGTACTTTTTTTGTGTATATCAACAGTAATCTCCAAAATCTGTGATGTCACTGACGTGTATTATGATTAAGAAAATGTATAATCATTGTGAAAATGCAAAATTGCCACTTGTCATCTCTCTATTTTCCTCTGCATTTCAGGAGGCTTTGGTGGAGGCCGAGGGGGACAGAGAGGTGGATATGGAGGCGGAGGGGACCGGGGTGGCAGTGCTCGGGGAGGGAGAGTGCAAGGAGGTAAAATCATGTACACAGTCATGTTTTTGTACTTGTAGGGCTATAGTAATGCCTATGTGGTGATACATTGTTTTTGGTTTGTCTGGATGTGTTCCTGTCAATCCTGATACATGTACATGAATACACAATGCAGTGTTTCCATACATACTTACTGCTGCTATGATTATCTGTGGGACTGGCATGGTCACAAAGCAGTATGGGTAGTCTGGTAGGTGAAGTCTGCCATCTCTGATTGCTTTGTTTTTCATGCAGGCTGGTCGGATGGTGGAGACCACGGCGGCGGCCGCGGCGGTGGAAGGGGCGGCGGCCGGGGGGGAGGTCGCGGGGGCAGAGGTCGTGGCGGGTGGGGAGGGGGCAGAGGTCAACATTACCAGCAGCAGCAGGGGGGTCAGTTTGAACAGGCGTTCCAGGGGGGTGGTCGAGGGGGGTACCACGGAGGACAGCAGGGGGGCAGGCAGGTGTACTACAGTTGATCATGGTTGGCTGCTGGCCAGTCATTCAGAGCCGGCTGTTGCCTTGTCACCAGTGTGGAAGTGCTGTGGAAGGTCCTCATGGCTTCCACACAGCACACAGCTGGGTTAGATGAGCCAATGATGCAATATTTGCCACAGGAAGTCCACAGGTTAGTCCATTTCCTGACTCAGAGAACATAAGCATGTTGTGCCAGGTTTGCAAAAATTAATTAAGATTATTTACGACCAACTTGTTTCATTCTATATTCTGATACAAAGCATTACATACTACTAGTATCACAGCAGCAGTTGAGACTTAAGCAATGTAAAATTGCTACGTGCCTGCTACTTTGCAAGGGTCTTGTATTCCTTGTAAAAAGATAAATGGGATCTTTGAGAAATAACAGTTATGAATGGCTAGCAAAAAAACTGTAGGGGCAGTACAACATACTTTTTTTACATCCAGCCTATAGCTACTACTGGTACATTAAAGCATCACTTAGGTTTGCTTGTCTGGCCCAAAGAGGGAAAATCTGTTTCAAATATTGGGCAAAATTTATAAGATAACGTAAGAGTAGAACTTTTGCCTCAAAGAAGGGCTGCATCAGAAGTTACATTTTCACAAAACATTCATACAGTACATGTGTAAAGACAAGAGTCTGGTGTATTCCAATTATTTATGATGTTGAAAAAAAGATTCCTTATTTAATATGTACCATTCTTTCAGAAAGACATGGTTTTTGTGTAAGTCTATTTGTCGTTTTGATAGGCTGCATTCTAAACGAGTCAGTTGTCATCCTTGTGCAAAGGTAAAGCCTGTCGGTCTTGACTCACATCTGATGATTGAAAATATACGTAAAAGTATGTACATCTAAAGGACAAATATTTTCACAGTATTGTTTGAAATTGTATGAGGCTACAGAAGCTGTGTCATTTATTATGGTAGTTCTGAGAGATTTAACTCTTGGCAGTTCAACACATTAACATTAAATGTTTGTGACTCTGAATTCAATTGATGAACCAGTATCTGGTCATGACATGAGATGTAGAACATGATTCACTTTCTCTTTGCTCTTTGGCATGAGATATACTGCAACATCACTCTGTGTGTAAGTATACCAAGTTAACAACACTGCTCCCTGATAGCGGTACTACGGTAATCAAATAACATTTCCAGCAATTATTATCTACGCAACAAACAGGTGAGGAACTCCCTAGACCTTCCAATAAAATACATTTCATGCATCATAATTGTTGTGGAATTGTTGTTTGTTCTTGCCTTTCTAGCAATTAATCTGTTACAATTTACTACATGTTTCATTAATGGGCATTTTGGTGAGTTACAATTCAATAATACATAGAAACTTTCAAGAATTCTGTGGTATCCCACTTTTTACACAAAATACATTTATATGTATTGCATGCATAATGTACATATATCAATTACATACATACTGGCAAGATTGAATATATTCACAATGTGTTTACATTTTGGCAAGTAAGTTGGAATCATTGTTAACATGCCACTGACAACATGTATTACATTAAGACATCACACTGCAGATAAAAACATCAAATCATAGTGCAATTCTACGACAAGATCAGTTGTGTAAAAAACAAAAGAAACAATATTGCAACCGGTCTATAGTCTTGTTCTGTTCTGCAAAGGTCACGAGTGATGCTATGTAGTGGGACACTGCCACCAGTTGATTGTACACCTGCGATTTGAGAAGTCATCATTTATCCGTCCGTAGCAAACACATCTGTACTCAGACACTCCCTGTTGCTGGGTTCTGTGTTCCAGCTGTGTGTAAGTCCCTCCCTCCGTGGCACAGTGGACGCCCAGCATGGTGTGGTTCTGAACAGACAGTATTATTTCATTTAATGAGGTCTTCATTGTAGCAACTTCTTGGTACATGTAAGAAATTCTGAAGCAAACTTTCACTGCTCCTTATAAAGAAAACTTTGCTATGTGTCTACAGCTTTAAAAATTGCATTTCACTACATTTCATTAACAAAAGTTAAAACTTTTCAGGGTCTTAGGGAATGCCAGGCTTTAAGATAACATAACTTTGCAAAAATACTAAAATCCTGAAATTATTGATACATTGGTAGTTTCATTTTGTACTACTACTACTACAGTACTTTAACACCTGGCACACGTACTGATTTTCTATTGGTTATGGGACTATGCAGCAGGAAGATGGTTAACGAGTGACTCACTGCTTCTGGCCTGAGCCAGTCCAGTTCTGTCTGTGCCAGAAAGTCAGAGCTGCTGCTGTGGTCCCAGAACTCACACTCATCCAACCTGGACACTCCAGAAGGCCCTGCTGAACCAACTGGCCCACGTGGTCCCTGCAGGAAAAGCAAACCAACACTACAAGCATGCTTGTTGGTAACAGTTCCTGGGAGATGACAACAACCAACTCTCAGTGAAGCAGGTCTCCGATCTTGGTAGCAAAAAGGGAAAGTAGAGGAGACTTGCAGTCACCTGCGTTGTAGCTGACTGATGATGACGATGTTTATTGATAATACAATTGAAAATTTTGAACTTTGAAATGGTTACACCCCTATGCTCTGACAACTCCATCTATGTTCTGACAACCACAACCCTTCCCCTATGTTGTCATGTAGGGGTGTAGGAACTAGGATGTCGGAACATAAACGTATAAGGGGCATGACCCACCTGAGCCCCCTGGCTGCCGTTGAACCCACGTGGTCCCTCTGGACCCTCCATCTTGCTGACTGTGTCCAGTTCCTCCATCACGCTGGAGTTCAGCCGGCTCAGGTCTGTCTGTAGAGAGTCACGCACTGCAGATATCTGCTGTACAGTGGCTTGGAGCTGGAAGTTGAAAGAAAGATCTTGTGTTTAGGAATCGAGCATTTAAGTGAGGAAGGTTAGTCCTGGATGGGGAATTAGTGTTAGAACATTAGGCCACACCGGTTCCTTAAGACTGTTTCCATACTCAGAACCAACAAATGGAATTGGTGTAGCCTTAGAACCAGTGTTAGAATGTTTTATTGTGAATTTGTGGATAGTGACACTGTGTTAGTGTGTTAGTTTTTAACCTGTGACCATTACATTGGCCAATGTTAATTGGAAGAAACTGTTTGCATCTCTACCACTTCATCTTGCCTTCCCACTGCATAGGTCAGGTTTTGCAGGTTCATGTCCTGCTTCCTTTCCAGCTCAGTCAGCTAAACAACAGTGATCAGTGATAGATTAATCAGATGTTTCAATGTTTGCATCATATTTTTCTTCTACATTGTGGCATTAATCATTCAGGTGAAGGTCAACATCTTTGAAGTAAGAAATTGTCCCTTTGTTAGAAAAGTTTTTCTGGGGAGCAAATTCTAATTCAAATTCTAACTACCAACACATCAGAACTTAATGAAGGTAACACACTGGAACATGACTTTAGTTTCTTTCTTACCTGATTTTGTAAGTCATCTTGTCTGACCATGGTCTGATTGTCCAGGACACTGAGCTGTGCAACAAGCTGCTGATTCTGAGGCAAAACATACAAGAACACAACAAAACATGAAGTGACAGTTCTTCACAGGTTACCAGAGCAATTATAATGATCCAGTAACTGAACTATTTGGGTGACAGACAGTGGAACACTTACTGTTGAAAGATAGTTCTAACAAGCAAGGTAACTGCCTACAAGAAAGTCTTATAAGATCCACCAACTATCAAGTCCTTAAGGTACTAAAGGAGCTATTAATGTCTTAAAGATGTGTACCTGCATCTCCAGGTGCTGTATCCTGTCCAGTGCAGCTGCCAGCTGGCTGGTCAGGACTGACGTGTTCCAGGTGTCACCTGTCTGCGCAGCTGTGCCACCTGGATCCGCTCCCTGGTCAGCAGCACCTGATACATCGTAAAAATTAGACATTAGCCCACATCAATCTAATCTTTTTGTTGTCACCTTAAGAAACATGCTGGAGTGGCAGTCAATATGACAAGAGTCTATACTTTGGATAACCAAGGACATCTGTGTATAATGTCCTTGGGATAACATACACGTCCAAAATTCAACTAAAATCTGACATCTACCCCTGATTGAAATTACTGGTATACAACAGGAAGACAAGCATCTATTGCGTGAAGCTTAGGTTATCTGTGTCCATGTATGTTTATATAGTCTGGATAAATTGGAATTTTCAAAAGTAAACAAAAAAGCTCACCTTGTGGTGAGACTGCATTTGTGAGGGCGAGTAAGGCCAGCAGTAAGGCGACCACACAAAAGAGGAACAGTAGAACAGGGATGAGGTAGCCTCTCCACTGGTCCTGACACCGGCCACACCAACCACCGGGGCCCTTCTCTATACTCCTGCGCCGGGCTGGTCTGCCTGATATGTACAGGGGGTTGGGCTTTCTCCTGTACAGGGTTAACACAGATGCAAACAGCATTATAACTGTATCATATCAGCCTAAGGCTGGGAATCAAATCAAGCAAATATTGGAAGTGTATTCACCAAGTAAATATCATGACTATCTCATAATGAAGGATACTTCCATGGATGATAGTTCCAGTATTCACAGTCTGGTGTTACTACCGGTACCAGAAAATTAGTTTACTCACCTGATAGAACGTCCTTGCCCATTCCAAACACAGTTTAGTTCAAGCGCAAATAAAGATTTGTACACTGTTGCACTAAAGACCAAACATGGCTTTGTGATACCGAGGAGAAAAATAAAAGTGATATAAATAGAAAAGAGATATATAAAAGTCCTTGAACAATGGCTCATCAATTCTATAACACCATACCCATATTACTCCATAACCAAATACTTTCATGCACTTACTTCGAAGTCCTCTCCAACTCTCCAATCTGTGCGTAGGGGGACTCCTGTGGGCCGTCAGACCCCCCTCCCTGTCCTCCTACCCCCAGGACCACACCCCCAAGGTCTACCTCCCTGTTAGGCAGTTCCTCGTACTGATGATAGGCTACATTCTCCACACCCTGCAGGCTTCTCCTGTCCCTCGGCTGCTGTAGAATCAGGTGTCCATCAGGTGCTGCAGGTGTGCTGTTTGGCACACCTTGCCTCTCTCGAAGTAGCAGTCCCATGGGAACAGGTTGCAACTGGCCTGTGACTCTCAAAATATCCTGTCCGTGCATCATGACCGTAGCGTTTTGTCCGAGGCTTTGTCCAGCCTCCTGCCTACCGACATGTGCAGGATTTTGTAGTACAGCCATCTCCATCTGTGTCCCTCCTTCTACTCGAGGAGCAGGCTTCACTGCCGCAGTTTTCCTAGAAAGGGTTGGCTTCAGGTAGCCCTCCTCCTCACTCTCTGCACCCCTGCCTTCATGGTCTTCCTGATGCAGAATATTGCCATCTGGTGCCCCCTGGCCCAGTGTGAGTGAAGTATTGGTGGGTGAGGGGGTGCTCTGGCCTGTACGACGTTTCACGTGTTCTTCGTAAGTAGGGGGGTTGGTCTCCAGGGGGGCCTCCTTTGTCTGGCCCTTGAGTTTGGACATGTATGTGTACCTTTCAGAATGGGCGGATTCAGGCCTGGGTTGCACACCACCTGGATCCATTGTTACACCTGTAACCAAGGTACTCTGGTTAAGGACACTTGCTTGTGACCATCTGACCTTTACTATGGTGTTTAATCATACTCTATTAACATACTCTTGTTACTTGTTAATAAATCATATAACATATACAACTATGTTCCATAAATAATGGCAACTCAAAACAGTCATCACAAGGTGTAATCACACCTGCAATATATCAATAACCTAAAGTAAAAGTTACAACACACCTCCAGTGCATTGCAATGACTGTAACAGAGCCAAGCCAGGCACAGCTCTATTACAAATGTATAAAGTTATGCAAAGGCACAACCTCACGTTTTGTAATGCTGCACCCTCAAACATGGGTTATCAACAAGTTATCAGCTTTCAGAAATACCTGCCAGCATTCCTCAGGTAATGCTGAACTGGCAAGAACCGCTTGTTGTTACTTTCTAGTCAAGTGATCCTCACAAAATCAACAATGTAGTGGAAATCTATCAAGCCTTGCTGAAATGGTGCGGCTAGGTGAATTACCAGAGTGTGGGAACTAGCCCCAGGCAGGTGGTTCTATTCTGTCCTATACATAGATCAATGGGGAACTTGTATTCAGCAGAATCACAACATACAGTTTGTATACACTGCAGAAGTTTGCATTCACATGCATACAGTTATATAAAACTTTTATCTGATGGCCCTGTCTGAATATGTGACTTATATACATGTACTCAAAAGATCCACAGCAAATATAACTTGGAACCATTCCAGACCACCTGCCCTGAGGGCTCCATACAGAAGACATAAACAAAGCCCTCTGATCTGCCTGGTAAACAAGTCAAGGACTTGCACAAACAGAACTAGAAAGGTGTTACTTCTACTCACCTGCCTACCTGAGAATGATCCGTACGAACTCTTAAGCCAGGCAAGACTTCTTGTGTTTACAAAATGCCTGGCAGCCATAAAGGTGCTCACACTGCAAGGCTTAGGAAAGTATCCAGTTGTATCAGCAGGGATTTGTGTATACTTCTGTAGCTGTTATGCACCAGTGGTCACATGGTGGACAGGTGTAATATTCCATGTTTCGTGTCAACTTCAATGGAAAACAAACTTTCGTGTTTTTGAACAGAATTAGACCATTTGGCTGTTATCTCGACAAGCCTATTAAGGTAATGAAGGTTAGTAATTGGCTGCTAACCAAAGGTGCCACAATGCAATGATTGAAAGTTTTCCCTTCGCTGTAATAAAACACTAACTTTGTTGTTTTCAGACCGGTTGGGGAACCTTTAAGAGTGGAAGGGCGTCCCTGCCGAGGCCATGTTGAGGGAAAACCAGACACAGGGTCACCAGGAATGATAGAAGACAGTCCAAGGACAACTGTTGCTTCTGTATCATGACTCCCACTGACTCCCTAGCGGGACACTGAGACCATTGATACTGCCACGGTTTTGCAAATGTTTCTACTTGGAATGAATACAGAGAAGTTCTTCCCCTGACTGACGGTGGTGAATAGCGCTGCCAGTGACTCAAAGCTAAGGAACGCCTCATATCTACCAACAGCCGCCAGACATGTCGCAGATAACTATCTTTTCATTTCTTGGCGACCGTGACCTCCGTTCCAGGTTACTCATTGTATTTCCTTGTCATCTGCTAGATTAATGGAGTGTTGACGAAGAAAGCAGGATGTTAGGACTGAATCAGTCCTCCATCAGGAACAACATTGGCGAATCTCAGTGTTACGTTAAGTGTTGTGACAACAGACTACCGGTAAGACTTGATGAAGCTTCAACGATAAAATTAGTTCAAGTTAGTTTTAGCATCTGAAAGTAATCCGTACATGGACAGGCAGGTTTACTTACCCGAGGCAATGAAAGAATCTGGAGTTCAGCAAACTAGATAGAGGCAGGTCTGAAACATTCACAGTAGTAGCCAAACGAAGTAAACACGGGCCGTGCGGCTGCACACATCGGTTCCGCCCCTTGGTGAGGACAGTTTTGGTGACAAGTTTCTGCTACTGTTCACTCTGCAGGTTTCAGAGCTTTAAAACTTCCTCCAACCTAAGGCTTACTTCTGCTAAGAGGTTCCCTTGTTTCGTGACACGATTATAGCGTTCAAATGTTTGCTCCTGAAAGCACACAAGCTAGATCTTTACACACAAAGATACACAGACTTACCAGGCGTGGTGCTGCTACAACAGGAACTTGACACTTAAGACGCCCGTCACGTGACACGTCCTTATTTAGATAACGGACAACAAGTGGTCACAGTATCGTTAAACTGGACAGAGCTGAGGCAACATAAATTCCATTGGTCCGTGGAAGTGAATCACAAAATACAATGAGTAGGGGAAATCTGCCCTGGAATCTGCGTTTAGTAGGGAGAAATCAGCTCTGATAAGGCATGGAAACGTGGGTTTACCACAGCGCATTTAGGCTATATACCTTCAACTTTTTAAATCAACGAAACTGTTTTTCTTTACATTTTGTCTTTTTGTCTACCTTTTAAAATCAAGCGGAAATATTGCGAGGTACATATATAGTTCCTGTCCTTCCAGTCAATTAAAAATTGTATAACCCTAATCCTGATGATCATGCTGTCAAATGAGCAAAATAAGACCACTTGACATTCCTGACCAAGAAAAATTAACTATTAAATGGATGTTTGTAAATGCAGCTCGGCAGGACAGGTGAGATAACAGTTATATTACAATGCACAAATTCAAAGGAATTCTAGCGCTTCCTGTCAATAAGACTTGTTTTGCACCATCCACAGGATGTTCCTGTCAAATGGTTATTGGCCATACAAACACACCACAATCACGAGAGTACAGTCCCGATTTAAACGGAAAAGAGTTTTCGCTTCTCGGCCCATGTGGCTAAGATCAGTGTACACTTTGTATTCTCGTCAGTGTAAACGGCGGACCGCTTTTCACATTTTTGTATCATGGATAGGGAAGGACCGTTGACAGTGGATATCCGTAACGTCTAACGTTAGAGATTAATAGGTAAAGCGGTAGTTTGTACGGATAACTTCCTCTAACTTCAGAAGCTATTTGTTGGCGAGGAGCAATGAATAAACCGCTCATAGATAAACAGATAGAGCGATAAACATACAGCACAGCGCAATGCAGGATATGCTGGAAACGTCGAGAATTCGGTTGTCATATAAACACTAACGTCATTCCTGGCCATGTATTGACTATTTGATCGGCACTTTTAAGGTTCCCATGGCGTCAATCATTGCATTTACACGTACAACCTCTGAGAAGGAACACGTAGTCTTTAGTTTTTTAGACATTGAAGTTATGGTAACGAGGACAAAAAGACTTGCGACACTACATGATGAGGTACACATGTTTTGTATTTAAGCAAACGCATCTCCAACGAATAATCAGATAGGGGACCGTTCAGTGGCGTTTGGGTTAGAAGTCGAACTACATAGTGATACATTTACGTCCTGAGGCACAGAGGAAATCGCCTAGGCACGGTCTTCCTGAGTTTCCGATAGCTGCTATCGACTTGCTCACCAAACAGTGAGAGCAAGGATGAGGCCTAGGCTATCAAAGTGTCGCTCGGTGTGAAATACAACCAGCGCCGTCTTCATGCCATGATTGTCGAGACTTAGATTGTAGACTGGCGCTAACGAGTGGTACAAAACACAGTGCAAACAGATTGGTAGGTTATACGCGCGAGAGGTCACGGGTTCACCCAGCGGATAGCTACTTCAGCACTATGGACAGGTCAAATAACCGCGGAACCCGCGAGCGCGAGGACACACGTGCACACTTATCACCCCTTCCGTTAGTCTCGTCATGACGTTTTCTTCCACCGCTTTCCACCTCTCCTCTGTCCACGTGTGGTCGTCTTCAAGGTCATGTTTTATGTCGTTCTTGCGCTCGAACAGTTGCAGCCAAGTGACCCATTCGCGCGCCTTGTCTATGTCGTGCAGAAAAATCCGTACGGCAGGCAAAGTATTCTGAAACTGGTCGCAGAACGCCTGGTCTTTATCCTCGCTGGTTTTGACTTTCTCCATCTGGTTGTCATTGGCCCACGAAACTGTCAGCTCGAATGGCTCGGGTCTGCAGTTCCTCCGCTCGCGTACTCGATCGAGTGCGCGGTCAAACTCGCGGATGGTGATGTGGCCGAAAAGCGCGAGAGCCAGTAAGGTGAGTTCCCACATGACGAGGCCGGACGTGCAGACGGCAGGAGAGGGCGTGTGGGTAAACATGTCATAGGCACTGCCGCACACACAGGCACATTTCAGCGGCAGGTCTATCCACGGTTCCCTCAGGAAAGCGTCGACGGCCTCCTCCCAGATAAGCGCAAGTCTGTCGGGGTCGAAGTAGTGCTGTAACTTCTTACGGATGCCCTCAACGTCAAAGAGCGGCATTGTCCTTCCGCAATTCCTCACTTCAGCACTAAGGTCTCATCGGCGTCCCATCTCCTCATCCCAATGGTACAGCCTCTGTTTATCAAGTGCGTTGTTTTATTTACATTTGAAGAACGTTCGGGAACAACAATGTTAATGACAGAACAATCGTTCCAGCTCCGTGTGTTTTGTAACGTCAGAATGCATAGCGTGGTCTTTTATTGCCATTCAGTAATCGCTCATGCGCAAATGAAATCCACAGATGAAGGACACTAATATCGTTCAGATATTCGAAGCATCCTACGCGCTTTTTCTTTAGTGCAAAACAGCTAGATTTGAATGTATTTTCTCCCCGACGGCGAGGCATTATTGAATCGGGAAAATGATCGACCCTTGTTTGCCTTAGAATGAGTTGAGGAAAGGAGACTGCCGTGGCAGAGGTGCACATTACTGTGACGATTTCAGCTATTGTTAGAAGAGGTACGTAGCACAAAGAATGATTTTTGTTTACTTCGATTCAATTTGAAAACGTCATAATTTTCCTATACATATCGGCCTTTGGAGGAATTGAGTCGTTAAATATACGATTAAGAGAAACCGTCGAATACTTTTAGTACATGGTATTTTTAGTATATGGTATTTGCAGAATAATACGAACCGTTATAGGCCCGAGAAATGAGAAACCGCAGTTGTTGTTTATGACACATACCGTGCTCCAGTTTATTTTCATTTTCAGTCGCTCTATTCATGTATAATCAGGATTTCAAGAAAAAGGGACTCAGACTAATCATAACCCGATCCCGGCAGTACGAAAACTGGGTCACAAGTCAAACGTACTGCAATACAAAGTTAAATGAACTGCTGAACAACCAGCGTTCAAGTAACCCAGTTAAAAACTACTACATTCAGCGTATGAACAGCCATGGTCAGTTGTCTTCTCGAGCAAGTATCTGCTTTACTACACCCTCCTCTACGGGTGAATATGCCTAGCTAGTGTTTTTTTCGGTAGGCTTTTCTAGGAGAGGTCAAACAAATAGATTATTCATGGTATGTTCTTCCACACCTTGCTCCTGTGTCCTCAATGTACGCCCACTTTTTCATAAGGGATAATCAGTGCTACAGTTGTAAGGATAGTCACTCCGCAGTTACAGTATCTCCATAGGGCACCATAAAGCTGTGGTACGTCTCAGAACACATTATTGATCATTATTGGGTACTGGGTTTGTACGGATATTGGAGTGCACATTGCCTACACTGTAAGTTCTTTGGTGGACAGTACTAGATACAATTTATTGAGTCAAAACTAGACACATTTGTGCACTGCAATATACTTACATAAATTACCAATGCCTTGTCCTTGTACAACACAGTGCAGTATCTATGGACAAAAAAACACAGTAAAGAGGCAGAGACACAACAGCTTGAAAATAGAGCCTTTTATTTGGAAATGATCACCATGTACAAACAAAAACCATATGGTCGAATGGAAAACATAAGTGTCAAAATGACAAAACATTTCCAGTTAGCAATGCATTTGCATCCCATGCAGGCCTAGACCTAGCTAGCTAGATGGACCAAGGCACTTCCTACACCAAAGTAAAAAGGTAAAAGCTGATGAACGCAATATCGGTTCAAGCGATGGGTCACCTGATGAGGTGTTGCATACTTACCCAGAACTGGATATATTTACCTCAAGTCTACAGCAATATCATAACATGCAATTGGAAGGTCGCCGAGGTAGATCTAACTGGCTAGTGCCTTGGCCAAAACATCAAACTGATACTCCACTTTAACAATCAGTCCGCATCCTACACAGCTTCAGCTAACACTGAAATCATTCTCTTTCTGAATTTCTGCTTTTTATCAAGATATTTTGGCTGTTCCTTAAAAGAGGCCAATAAAGCAAGAAAAGGTGTGTGTAGTGCGTGATAGTAATGACAGTACACCACCAACAAAAATAGCTCCTTTATTTCTCTACATGAATTTACAGTTACAGAAATAGCCATATTCCAATAAATATTAGGAATGCCATCAGCTACCAGTCTTACCTTCCTCAGGGATTTGTTAATACCAGACTGTTTCCATTGAGAAAACACAGGCTAAGCAGAACAATACAGCCACAGGATCAATGTAGTGTACCAAAGGACAAAAAATATTTCAGCACAGATCTGGGGAAGTGTGAAAATAAGAAATCACTATCATGTAATGCACATCAAAATCTAAAAAAAAAACTAACCTAAAAATATCAAGGACAACAGGGATTAGTATGAACCTACATAATGGTGTAAATCTACATAAAATGTACAATTTCCAGAACAATCTGCTTCTCTAATTTTCAGTACATCTACCTATGTCCTGGAACTCCTACTCAAGTACATTGTGTCCCAAATCATTTCCAGTACAGAACTATCATCAGCTGAACTGAAAAGGCTACGAAACAGTTACGGTGCATGGTATCTACACGTCTAGTTAATTAAAATGATAAGTTAACACAGGACAGGTTATTGACAATGCCCTACTAATCCTCTCACACCTGGTAACCCATCTGGCAGAAAACACTGACCATTATTTTACACAGCTTGTCCTGCACGCTAGGTTACACTATCCAGCCACTGACAAACCTGACAGTGGCAGTCGCTCAAGTCCCAATATGGGAGCCCTCTTCTTCACTTCACTCCCCTCCCCATAACAAGCCATAGCCCTATTTCAACCTGAGTTTGATGGAATTTTTCACCACACTGACATTGGCGGTAGTCGTTCTTGGGGAGGAAATGTCCGGAAGCTCACCGCTCGGAAGCCTCTGTGGAAAAGTCAAGGCAAGAGAAGGATGTTCAGGGATACGTTTCATTCTAGAATTATAGGATACTTGAGTTTTCTGACACACAACAAAGCTGTTGAGGTAGTGAAAATACATACAAAGCGTCAGAAAAACTTGATTGAAAAGAGAACTAACCTGCACTCTAGTTTGGTCTATACTGGGGGGTGTAGCAGGATTCTTCATACTTGCTTCATCTTCTTCGACTGTCACAGGAGACTGCAAAATACCCAACAAAAAAACACAACATACACAAGCAGCATTGAAGAGAATGCAATGGTGAGCATTTTGATATGACACCTTATACGAAAAACTTAAGCATCCAATAAATAATTAGCTTCACTAGTCTCCATGAAATTACTGGGGTGGAATGCACAACTTCACCATAAAAAAACCTCCAGTAGTTTTTAAAACAGAACTAGGGCAAGACTGACAGAAATCTAACATATGCTGCTGACTACCTGGGGACCTACCTGTCTCTGTATTTTTTGGTCTGGTCCTTCATTGGAAGGGGAATGTGATCGTTTGGGAGCAGGCTCACTGCCGTCTACAGAAGTATCCACCTCCTGTGGGAACAACTAGACTTGCGTTAATTCTGACAACTATATACAAGGTTTGACCATTTGTTTTAGGGTGTCAATAATGTTCCTATAATGGCAAGGTGAACAATCTTATTTCTGTATTGTACAAATCCGCAAGTCCACTGTAGCAGGGTGCCTGCAACCGGCAGTGCCGCGACAGTGGGTGAAGACAATTTGACATTTCTCTTCGACAGCACAAAATCACACCAGCCAGTCTCAGGTGGCATGAGGAACTTCTGTCGGACATTGTAAGAAAGACAGAGTCTTACGAATAACAGCTCTGTGGAGTGTGGCCTAGGAAGTATAAATGCGACCTGCTCGGCTACCTTTGCCTCTTGGTTGTCGGGTGAAGACGGCTGCTTGTTGCCTGTGGATGACTCAGCCTCAGAACCCTCTGGTGTAGGAGACTGTTTGGTGTTGTCATCGGTTACGGCATCAGGGGCATCAGGGGAATGTGGCCTTTTTACTCCTGTACCTGCTGCCGAGCCATTGGTCTACAGAGAACAAAATTAAACAACATTAAGACTTTCAAACTTCGGCAGACTATCAAACTGTTTGAGTCACAGGTGGGGACATATCCATTGACTTTCAACACTTTCTAAGAGTGTACAACACATTCAGACATATATGTTGCATGCAGAAATACAGACACAAAGAAAGACTTCTCCCATACACTTCTGTCCATACATGTAGTTGATTTACACTGAAGTAAAAAGGAGATTGATGCATACCTCAGTGACACTGTCATCCAGTGTCCCATTGGCGGTAGGTTCAGGTGTGGTCACCTGTCGTCCTGCTGCCTCGGGGAGGGGCGGAGAGGCTGAGGTGGCCGGCGGGGAGTCTGTGTCCTGTAAAACAGTTGCATGGCAGTTTGTCTTCACAGCCAGGAGGGGAAAGGAGACTTTTGTGGTTGAAACAATTAAGACTGAAAATTCTCCAGTACAGTAATAATGCCAGAGAAACTCATATTCCCAGTGTCAGGATTTCGCAGTGGAAAGGTCAGCTCGACGCTAAAACCGCTGCAAACGTTTCAAGACTTACCTCTGCTTTGGTGCTGAGTTTCCTGACTGTTACAGGAGTGGTCTGGGCGCTGCCTGGGGTAGATGCTGGGCTGATCCCTGAATCAAGGCTGATCTTCTTCCTGGGTGGGGTCTCTCCTGCCTCATCACCCTGGAGAAACACGGGTGGGAGTTAACAAAATGTCAGTCTTATACAGAGATGAAGTTGACAACAAAAACAGAGCAAAGCAAACATCACATACAGAGATAAACTACAGTATAATAATACCTGGGCAGGGAGCGACCTCTTCTTGTTGAACTTGAGGAGGGAAGGTGGGAGGTACTCTCCCAACTGTTTCCTCCTAACAGAACGGGCCTCGATCTTCATCCCTTCCTTCAGGGTACCATTGGATATGGCCTGCCTGTGAACTATAGGAGACAGGGAATAAGTACAGTCAAACATGTCTAACATGATTACTCAAGGGAAATGGTCACAGCACACTGGTTGCAAATATAGACAGGCTTCTTAATGCTTAAGTTATTGGGAAAAAACTACCTATGGGACTAGCAAAAACTAGCCTGTGTAGTGATGGTTCATACAGAGGAGGATGATAGGCTGGTTACACTGTAATCTCTGATTCCTCTACAACATTTGTGTCATGGTGCTGCTTCAATAGTATTTCTAAGAGTGTTCTGTAAGACACAGAAAAATTAAGCAGGGATGTGGGCTACAGTAATTGCATGCACACGTATCTCTATAGTCTAAACCGTGATTCAACCCAAGCCTACAGATTTCTTCCTTACCAGTATCCGTGAAAGACTGGATCTCAAAGGTGAGGTCAATGTTCCCTCCCTCGATCTTGTTGAACTGAAGCCCGATGAACCAGTTGGTCACAAACACATCCCTGAAATAAGGCGAGTGCAGTGTGAATAACTTACTACATTCAGTCTAAAACATAAATGTACACACCACAGATGTCAATAGTTTAATCAGAGATGGCGGACTTCACCCCCTTTACCAATGCCGCTTTGCAAGAGTAAGTCAGAAACACAGACACTCCATAAACAAAACTTCACTCCCTTGTGGGCAAACCAACAATCCAGAGAGTTTATGTTGTGGTTTTACTAGTAAGAAGTTTGAGGCTACTCACTCCTGTGGGTTGAGAGGAGGGTACTGCTTGGGGTTGACATGTGCGAGAGCGATGTAAGCCGTCCTCTCCAGGTTACCTATCAATATCCTCACCTTGGATTCCACCAGTCCCACCCTGCAATACACGAAGAAACTCATGCTCTGCAGTTCTTTGTTTGGCTGTCTGTGTTTGTCATAATGTGCTAATCAAAACAAATTATCCACAGAACACTGTGATTTTATGGTAAACAAAAGACAAATTAGACTTACCATTCCAGATGATGCTCTTTAGAAGTTGCTGATGTGCTGAGAACAATGTAGTGCTTGTACTTTCCAAAGAAACTACTGGGTTCAAACAGTTTGTCCCATGTGGCTTTGCCCTCAAAGATCTCTTGGGTAACTTGAAGGCCTGCATCAATGTCAGATAAACAGAAGATTAGACAATACAATGTACTAGAACTGCCACATTTTTGTCATGCAAGCATGTTTTCTTGTCTACCTGTACTGGACCTATGATTAAACCAACCAGTGAAACTTGGGTGACATGTGAAGTGGTGGCTCCAAAATATGCCTAGCATCTTTCAATACAGAAGACAACATGATTCAAAATGGTAATACAACAAACATTATCAAAGCAAAGACTAGAAAAAACTAGTTGGGTAAAACTTAATTAGTCTATTGAAAATAATTTTTATTGTTACCTGTGTATCATACAGTTATATAGAAAGAACTATTTTGAGCCATTTGCATGTAGTAATCAATTGTACATCAAGTACAGAGAAAGTGGGAAAGTCTGACCTATCTTGAACTCCTCCTGCATGATGGCACGAGTGGACAGGGAGACGTTATAGGTGGAGTTCTGCTGGGGGTAGGCTGGTGTGATAATGGGCATCAGGTGAAACCGGTCCATTGGATTGGTCTGGTAGGAAGAAATTTTTTTGATCTTTTAGTGGTCTAGTTTCAATTCTGCCATGATGGACCATCAGCACTAACTTGAAAGACTATAATTAGGAAGAAGGCAATGAGAAATGGTAGACATACTAAATTCTGGGGGATAAAAAACAAACTATTCCTGAAGTTTGGTACTTGTTTTATGAAATGGGAAAACAGGAGTTGAAGCAGAGGAAAACTGGACTTACTCTTGGGTCCCAGACTTGGAACCCCAGTCTGTTGTTCTCATCTATCTGCTTCAGCAAAACTGGCTGTGGCCACTCCCTATAATAAGAGAACACAGGTAATGAGTCTTTTATAAATGCCTGTTTAGCAACGTCAGGATTAGTAATGGTCACAAAGCATTCTGAAACATACAACTTTTGAATGACAAGTTAAAATTACACGTAACATTACAATATTGAACATTTTGAATAAGGCACTTACCACCTGGAAAAGACTAGAAAGAACTTGTGGATAAGAGTAGAAGCGATGGCATTCGGGTACAGCTGGCAGGTCCTGGCCACCAGCATGGCCCAGGAGACTCCACCCAGGAAACCCAGCACGTTGGAGTATACCCCTCTTCCTGTAGACAGACAGGAACAGGAAACACATGAAGGTACATCATGTATAAGAAAAATGACCAGGTAAGTACTGACTGTTGCCTGACACTTGGGTCTTGGGAGATGGGATAAAGTCTGATACAGTAGAGAGGGGTAGCCAAGAGTCTGGACTATAACGTATGAGCAATGTCCCTTTATTCCATGTTTTAAATCAGAACAGTTTCACCCACTTTTCACCCAAGTAAGAATGATGAAGAACTCACTCTTGGCCCAGAGCTTGATTGCCCTGAGAGCCAGGCGGAAGTTTTCCCTGTTGGGCACCAGATGGAGCATCTCATCAGTAACCCTACAACCTGGAAAGACACATAGATCAACAGGAATAAATAAACATGACATCCTACATTATATACATGTCAACAAACACTGAACCTGTGCACAGCTTCTGGATTCAAACTAAGGAATTTCCTAAAAGTCATCAACATTGAAATAAACATCAAATCCTGGCTGAAGTTGTGTGTTTCTTTAAGAACAATCTTGACAACAAACTTGACCTTATGACCTACCATTTAGACTCCTCACACATCTCTGGTCCAGGTTCTTAAGGAGGACCTCCTCCCGAAGGTCCTGGTCCTCAGGAATTTGAGGTAACGCCAGTCGAGCAAACAGGATATCAAGCTAAAACAGATAGAAAAAAACAACAAAAACATTCATATTGAAATTAATAATGTATGGAGATATTTTTTTTAAGTTTTCTGCAATACATGGTTCATAATACTGAGCCTTTATTCTTCTATATAGCCATGTTAGAAGCTACTAACTCATATTTTCTACAACCCCGAGAAGTTTTTTGCAAAGTGCAGGTGGGTATTTTTAGTAAGCCATTCAATAAACAATGGATGTCTTACCTCTACACCATCAAAGTCTAATTTGATAACAGGAACAAACGCTTCTTCAACACCCTGAAACAAAGATGATCATAAAGTGAGTACTTCTGAAACAAAACTTTTACTCAAGTCAATCCTAATCAGTGTTTCCGCCAGAGGGCCGTCCACCCGTCATATGACGGCCTGGTGTCGTTTTGGACGGCCTGAACTCGGACAGAGGCCGTCCTCTTAAAAAATTTCGAGACTCGGAAAAATCAGAGAAATTGACAGTCTTTGTTTTGTTGCTGTAGACGAGGACGCCGTCCAAGTCAAGAAAGACACACGTTGTTTGTTTTGCTATTGTTATCATGCTGACGAACAATTGATGTCGGCGCCTTTCGCATACGTTAATCTCATTAAAACCCGTCTTTCAAGTCTCCATCCGGTAAAATGTATCCACAAACATTTTTCCTCGAACAGAATCATTTCGGATGTGAAAATTCTCTTTTGGGAGTTACGTTTTTGATGGTCTTGTAGCGGGCGGGTTGCATGAAAATCCACGCCGCAGTTCGCTATCCACGCCGCGGTTCGCTAACACTTCCGGCTTGCTTGAATACGCGAAAGGCACCACAAATCGGCATATGGATGCATACATAATGAATTTCTTTAATTGAATGTTACTAATTAGCGGTAGAAACACCGTAGAAAGTAGCGTAGTGTAACTCTCTTCGCCAACAAACAAATTCTGCAGCTATGCCGGCAAAGATGGCTCTATCCAATCAGAGCGCAGGTCATATGTGGTCAACCAATCATAGCGTATAGTTCACGCTGCTACTTACATATTTAATGACAAAATGGCGCGTATTTCCTTCTCCGGCGAGGTTGAGAATGTGCGCTGCAAGTTTATTTTTCCGGCGATTTTCTGACTTTTAACGCCGATTTTTCGCACGCTACGATCACGCTACCATTTGACACTGTACTGGAGACAACAGATGAGTGATCATTTTACAATCAAGGAGCATTTTTGTTGAATGAAACAACAATGAAAGCTACGATTTCAAAATTTGTCTCGTGTATGAGAGATAAGATGACGTTTCTTGACATGTTTTGATGTATTTTTGGCTTGATATTAACTAGTAATTCGTAGCGGAAATGTACGAAGGAAGTACGAGTACGAACGAAGCAAGGCTCTTCACTATTAAAAATCCGGCTAGCGCGGGCGCTACCGGAGGTTATAATTAAATGATGCCGATGTTTGGAGTTTTGCAGCAGAGTTTTGCAACAGTATAATTTCCTGACGATACGTTTTCCATCTGTAACAGTGTTTTTATGTCAAAAAAAAATGTGGAATGCTTGTGGACAGTTTCAACTTGTAAACAAGTGTAAACAAATGCCCCGCCCCCTGAGTTAATTTTCGCGACGTGTTCCCTATTAAAAGTTAATTAATTTTCGCGACCCGGCCCTTCCCAACTGGACGGCCTCTCAGCTGCAGTCTGGCGGAAACACTGATCCTAATGCAACACAAGCTATATTCTTTTCAAAATTATTCAGTATACAACTAAAGAAGCAACACAGAAGTAATGTACAACTGTAAGAACACTGCTCAGCTTACCCTTATATCTGTAGTTTCCTTCTGGTCTTTGAGGATTTCATAGAATGATGAAAAGAAATCTGATCGGTCGACATGACGAGGAGCTACACACAGGGTATCAATATCAGCACCTGGAGCAAAATGACAGTTAACAATGTTTTATACAAATATATTGTACATCAAACTAAAACCTACATGTATGTAAAGAGGAGGCAGGCAAAGAGAAGTCACACAAGGAAAGTCTGATAAAAGTCATGTCAATGTAATACATCCAAATGATGACCGTATGACTATTACAACTACACAGCCTGACCTGCTCCATGGACCCCCAGCCTGTAGGAACCAAATGTGTAGATTTTCCCTCCCACTGTCTCAGCTATTGCAGGTGGCATGTTCTACAATAGACAAGAAACAAATACATGAACAATACATTATTACTGTACATACATGTGGTAAACAGCAGATGAATGAATGAATACTACGTACTTCATACATGTATACAAGCATAACCTGAAATGATGCTTACCTTGGCTAGACTGACTTGTTTTATCCACTCCTTTACTAGTTTGTTCAACTTCCCCAAGACCACCATTCTGTAACATAAAGTGGTGACATGTGACCATGTGTAACAACATATCATAAACATTAGACACAAACACTCTTTCATTCAATGTTGCTGTTCCTGTAAACTGTAATGGAAAATACTAAGCTTTTACTACATCAGTTTTACCTAAGCAATATACCTCCTCCATCCTGACAAAATGATGTCTGTGCTAGTCAACCAAGCCCTAATAACTGTTAACCGCTTTGCACTTTGGAAAAGATGAAGCAAATGCTACTAACTAGGAGTGGGACAAACAAGTAAAATACACAAGTATTCTAACAAACTTAAGTATTCTAAATAATGCCAGTGGAATACTTGCAAAGACAGTCCTACACTGGCTGCCCAACAATGGAAAAAGAAAGGGGAGACGAGTCAGACGACCAAAACTCCCATGGAAAACATCTGGAACACCTGGATGTTAGCCGTGGTCCAGTCCAGAGCCACCCTTTTTGCCCTAAGTACCGCTACTGCAAACAGGCATGGGGGTCTAAGTAAGATCTAGATCTCATTGCTGTGTGTACTTACCTATGGGTGAGCCCCTCTTCTGTGTCAAACACATTGTAAGGCTTGAGTGTGTTCACCAGCTTCACGTTAAGGTCGATGTCAAACTTGGTGGGTTCTGACAGACTGATGGGAGATGTTATACCAGGGTACTTCCTGGGGGTTTGACTGTCCCCAGCTTCTTTACCACTGCAGAGAAAAAGTAAAAACAGGCACAGGTAAATATTCACCTTGAGCCAGTAGGTACCCTCTGAGTACCTTCAGTGGACCTCACTTCAAGATCGCCGAATGCGATCAAGGCTGATCAACTTCTACAAGTACCACAATGGCTCACTGATTATTAACTGCTGATCAAAACCCACCCCCAGCTGTTTAAAACCGACACGACTCAACCACTCTGCAGCATATCAGCTGCCCAGAGGACTCTCTATAGAGAGTGATCCTTTTTCCCACGTACAATCAGGGAATGGAATAGCTTGCCGGCTGACTCTGCCCTCAGTAACAACTTAGAGGGCTTTAAGTCCGAATTGTAACCCCCTGAAAGCTCCACTTCCTCAGTACATTTTCCCCATCCCCCCTTGCGCAGTATACCCGACACGGCGACATAATCTTTGGCAAGTCGAAGGCGGTCGCCTATGGAAAGAAGAAGAAGAGTAACGACTACGAACGAGGTTGTGTTGTGGGACAGCAGGAACAGTTGGTAAAATACATTTCATTTAACAACTGCTATATGATGTTCCATTTCCAAAATGTGTTCATCAACTTAAAACGGAGGATGAGCTGTGTACTGATCTGAACAGAAAGGTTTTGAGTCACACGTTTCAAGGCGAAACGTGATTCACCCACCATAACTGTCCAAACTCTATTTTCTAGCTGGCTGTTTATACTATATAGCCATAAAGAC